ACATGGCCCAGCTGAAGTGTCACACAATCTACTTAATCCCAATGATGAAAAATCGCAGAGCAGCGTGTGACGCGATGTCATATTTATCGATATCAATTACAGTAAAAAACTCGATTACACTTTACGGCGACGCAGATAGAGCTGCAAGTTTTAATAAGTTTATTCCGCTCCCAAGAGCAACCACAAAACTGTTATCGATAACAGATTACTATCGATAATGCAGGTATGAAAGTAACATCGGACAGTTAGCTTATAAAAAATAGGTGTGATGCTAATATATCGATAAATGAAGCCCACTATCGATAGTACATTTGAAGCCATTAATAATACCTAATACAATATCGATCAAAGAGAATAAAGCCCAAAATAAATGTTATAAATTGATCTTTGATTAGAGTGAGCTATCGATATGGCTCTAGCAAGCTGCGATAATCGATATATGAGTATCCCGGCGACGCTCTAGAACAATAGTTTCAAGCTATCAATCAATAAAGTTAGTAATCGTTAGCTAAACACTGTCATTACCAGTTATCGATAAGCATCGATATATAGTCAGTCATCGACTCAATTTGTAGGCTCTACTTTATCTGCTATATATGGACTATGGCCAACGATTCAAGTTTACCGACTCCCCAGAGCCAACGTCGGAGCCTTGTGGCTCTGTGGTTGGCTTGGCCTGCTGTGGCGACGAGCAGGCGGCGCATGGGTGGGGCAGCTACACAGGCCCTACAGCGGGCAGACAGCATTGACAATCATTTTACACTTGGCAGGATATTATGTAAATTGCTTTTCATATTTGTGCAACATTTAAATTTACACCCAGCGAGATAGGCAGAGCCACAAAGAGAACGAGAGGGAGAGAGAGGGAGCGAGGTGGTTGGGTGGTGGGTGGTGCGACAGTAAGTAAATCACAGCAGCAGCCGCTGCTGCGGTGGTTGCTTGCGCTGTTGGTGTTGATGTCAAAGTAAAATGTAAAGGCCTAACAGGCAGACATCATTATAATGGCAGACAGCGCCAATGGCTGATTGAGTGAAAGAGTGACAAACTGAATGAGCGACAGAGCAAGAGACAGAGGGGCAGCGCGAGCGACAGAGCAAATGCGAGTGGAGACGATGGAACAGATAGTGACAGGCACTGGCTGGGCATAGCGGGGGCGGTCGGGGCGTGGCAGAGGCACAGAATTGTCGCTGAGCGCCGAGATGCGTCTACGGGGAAAAATTAACGATGCGTAAAACGTCCTCACTGTGGTTTTTATTTATATGAATGTCCCCCTCTCTCTCTCTATATATATATCTCTCTCTCTCCCTCTTCTATCTTACTGTGCGTGTGAGCGTGTAACTCGATATCTCTGTGTGGATGTGTGTGCGAATTTTTTGAGTCTTGGCGGAATTATTTGATAGCCCCAGTGAAATGAAATTGCAATGTGTCAGTTTTAATGGCGCTGCAATTGCTCCCAGCGCTTAATATACAAATAAATATGTGTGTGCGTGTGTGTGTGCGAATGTGTGCGTGCGTGTGTGCCGTAAAATGCACAAAATGAAATGTTAAAATCCTGACAGAAGCCGCCTGGGACAGTAATGCACAGACAACAGCCATTGAGTGCTAAGTACAGTTTAACAAACACATAAAGAAAAGCAAAACAATCAAAGATAAGAGCAAGTGGCGAATAGCGAGTAGTGGGAGTAACGAGCAGCGAAGAGTAGCGAGTAGTGAAGAGTAACGAGTATAGGGAGTAACGAGTAGACTGAGTAACGAGTAGAGGGAGGAACAAATAAAGTGAGTAACGAGTAACAGGAGTCATAAGTAGAGAAAGTAACAAGTAGCGGTAAGTAACGAGTAGAGGGAGTAACGAGTAGAGTGAGTACTGAGTAGAGAGAGTAAGGAGTAGAGTGAGTATCAAATAGGGTGAGTATCAAATGCGAAGCATTGTTAATGTGAAGAGAGAATAACGAACTATCACCAGATATATGCTAGCTATTAACAACCGCGAGATAGTCTCATTAGTCATTACTCATTACCCACTTGTCTCATGCGCCAATAGAACTACGCTAAAGGAGCAACAAGTGACGAGAAAGAAAAGCCCAAGAGTAACGAGTGGATGCAAATGTAAAATGCGCGATTTAAATACCACAGCGCATCATAAGAGGCCGAGAATTGGCTGTATATAAATATTTAAACAGTTGCAAGAGCAGGTTGCTGCAGCTGCAACGAGTAGCGAGGGAGCCAAAGAGAATAAAAGAGCAGATGGAGTCAGCAACAGAGGAGAGGGAGAGAGGGAGGGAGAGAGGTGGAGTGAGATAGTGGGCAAGTGAAATGCTTGCAATTAAGTTCAAGGAATAAATACCAAAGGCAAAAGGAAATGAAGTTGTCAGCAGACTGAAAAGCGAATGCAAATAAATATTAAAACAGTCGGTAGAGAAGTGAAACGAAGTCAAACTTAATTAAGAAGACCCATGAAAAAGACGAGAGGCCAGATAAATCAATCAAATTTCGCCAACCAACCGGCAACAGCAACGCGTTGCCAAGGAAATTGAGTTATAAACATGCGACGATTAAACTGACTCTCCAGCTCCAACTCCTGCTGCTGCTCCTGCTCCTGTTGCTGCTACTCCTGCTCCATATCAAAGCAACCCGATTCAATTGATATTGATACATTTATATAAATAAAAAATAAAAAAATAAAAAGAGAAGAGAGAAATCCTGACAGATAATGCTATCGATTCAATTAAACATGTATGTACATGCATATGTATGTATGTGTGTATAGCAACCAGACTTTTTGTTGAGTAAACTTTCGCGGTAATCATTTTACTCGAATTATTTAACTATAAAGAGTTCAGCCTGATATGTATTTGTAATGAAACTCTGCTACAGCTGAAGACAGCAATTTAAAATGAGTATTCATAATGAGGATTTCTCTATTTCTTTACATATTTTTATCATAGCTCGCAAATGACTGTTAACCAATGCCTTCTCTTTCACTCACACTCTGCGAGAAAGCTCGGAGAGCACGCTTGAGTGATATTCGCGGTGTATTTAACAGTGCTCAGAGAGCAGCCAATTGCATCGGCTCTTCAACAAGCTCGTTTGCGATCGGCTAGCAATCGTTTTTTGTTTTCGTTGTTTTACTGCGCTCTGGTTGGTTCGCTTGGAGTGCAGCAGAAAGATTTTTGTGTATGATTTGTATGTATGCGTACGTGAATTGAGTACGGCTGCATGTGTGTGTAACTGCGAGAGCATTCGCATTGACTATTTGACTCTTGCTCATCTACAGAGTCTCAGTTTGCGAACGTTAATCGTACTATCCCTTTCTGACCAATGACCAATGAGCGTCACACGAATAGATCAACTTAAGGCGCTCAACAGAAAATAAAAACGAAAAGAACCGAAGTGTGTTGCTCAGGGTAAGAGCGAGAGCGAGTGAGCATGATATTTTTCGTTTGCTTTCGCAAATGGAGCGTAAACAATGGAACTATAAACAGTTAAATATTGGCAAACTATGATTACGTAATTAATTTATTTTGTAATCATATTATATTTTTATGATATTGTATAATTACGTAAATATTTTTAAGTATTTTTAAATTTTTTTATGCAAATTTCACTTATAGTATCTAAATATT